AAAAACAAAAAAAAAAAAATGAAAAAAACATAAAAAAAAAAAAAAAAAAAAAAAAATATATATATATATATATATAGATATATATATATATATATCTATATATATATATATAATATATATTTTATATATATATATATATATATATAATATATATATATATAATATATATTTATTATATTTATATATATTTAAGACTACAATGATCAATTTTGATCAATTTATTGATCAATTTTGCTGGACAATAAATTGTCCCAAACTGTATCGCGATAAACGATAATATTGCTGTTTTGTGACTATTTTCAAGTAATATAATCGTAATGGCATTATAACGCAACTACACATTCTCAAAGATCAATAATCTTTCAATTCTAATGAACATTTAACACTGGAGCCGGAGTTTAAATATCCAAAAAAAAAAAAAAACAAACTGACAGAAACTACAAATCAAATGAATCATGAAGTCTCTGCAAACAAAACTGTCCTTCAGAAAAAAACGTGCCGGTTGAGACGAAAGCAACAGACTGGAGATTTTTGTGATCCAGTTTTTGGTAGAAAGAGAGAAAAAAGCAATAAATTAAGGAAATGCTTCATGACGCGTCAGCATGGTGCTGATCGCGTCGTGAGGCTTTCATAAACTAACTGGTAATTATCTCCATCCACTCAAGTTCCCACTGATGTGAGAGCATCGTCCTACTTGCGTGTGTGTGTGTGTGTGTGTGTATCTGTGTGTGTGTGTAGATCTTGGGGATGGTGATCCCTTCTGCTTAGAGTTGCCTTTGAATCATAATCTGTGGAACATTGACCAACATATTATGCGAGGCGTACTTATAGTTTTGATGATGTCACTCGATAAAATGTAAAGTTTGCTCTCAAACCGGTGACTGCCTGACGCTTTTTGTGGCTTTTGTGGATGGAAATGATGAATTATAACTCTGAGTCTGTGCGTATTGAGCCCAAACAAACGTTTTACTGTTTTAATCGAATCACTGAATGAAACGAGCTTTTCGTTGAGATTCCAATTTGTTGAAACACTTATCTGAGTGATTTTAGACTAATGAAAAAACTTTATTACTGATAAGTAAATGATATGGCCAGAAGTGTAAAAGGAGTATCATTTAAAAAAAACAAAAAAACCCATCTCTATATAATCCATTTCTACGTATATTTTAAATTGTGTTCTGAGATTCGAAACAGGATCGCAGCTGGGTCGCTCCAAAACGTTGATATTGCTTCTGGTGCATCAATGCAATTGAGGTCCATCAATGCAGATTTAACCATGAAATAATTCTCTATATTAAATGTTTTGGTTGTGTGATTTAAGGGAAGGTCTGGAGGTTCAATCCCACTCCAAAATGTTTTACAGCTTTGGGTGTAACAGTCTGGCTAACGTGGGAGTTTGTGTGTTCTTGCCTGGGATTCCAGGAGGGCCTTTCGGACCGGCGAGGCCATTGAGTCCGTCCAGCCCCGGCGCTCCAGACAAACCTGTGAAGAACGCGTCATGAGAGGGTCTACTGAAACGGCCGCATCGTAAAACTGACGTTACGCTTTCATCTTACCTTTAAAACCGACGTCACCTGGGCCTCCGGGTGGTCCCGGGGACCCGTCTGATCCTCGTCTCCCAGGGAATCCGGGCTGACCCTGCGGCCCAGGGATCCCAGGTGGACCTACCGGAGATTGAGTGACAACATAATTATCGTCGATTCGTCTTTCATCAGCTTCGTCTTCGGGGTTGGTGTCTCACCCATCGTTCCGGGTCGCCCCGTTTCACCGGGAATGCCCTTTTGTCCATCAGGACCTCGGCGTCCCGGAAAACCCCTGTCGCCAAGGGAACCGTCGATGCCTCGAGAGCCTACCGAAACATTAGGTCACCATTTACTGGGAGACTTTCTTGAGTTATTGTAACCAACCTCAGCTGCTCCATCGATAAAACTAAGAACAAATATGAAGATGTTTCTTTTACTGTGACGTCTGAATGAAATGTGATCCACTTAACTTGTGTAAAAAAGTGAACTGGGTCAAACTATTCTGATAAATAAAACATTAGGAGATTCAGAACTCTATAGGTTGAAGCTACAAAACAGCCATGAAGGCAAAAGGCTTTATATGTATATATTTTTTCAATTTGAATATACAGAATATTTTAGATGTTTTTTTCTTCTACTTTTAGATTTTTCAAGCTTTGAGGATTTTTCTACCGCTAATATTTTAGTGATGACTTTCAAATTAGTCTGGGTTTTATCTTGGGTATAATCCAAAGTCTAAATAAATACAAGCTGTAAATTATGCTTGTAAAACAAAATGATGGTCTGTGGGGCGTGTTGACATCACTGTGAACTATGGAGACCCCAAATGAAATCTTCACACATGGAAAATTCGCCCGGCTCTATCTTACAGTGAAAAATCAAACCTTACCTGGAAAACCTGAATCTCCAGTCTGGCCTTTCACTCCCGGTGCTCCAGGATAGGCAAACGTCTCTCCAGGTGGACCTGATTAACAAGCGGCGCGTCCTGATTATTTGCCGTTTCTTACGAGAGAGAACTGCTGTGTGGAATGAAGGAAAGTTGCCGCTCACCTTTGGCTCCGGTTCGGCCGAATTCTCCAGGATTTCCGGGGAATCCCGGCGAGCCGTCGTCACCCTGAAGAAACCGTGATGAGAACGTCAGCCCCACCACCTCGATCGTGCTGAAGGCTAATATGAGGAACAGACGTGTGTTTCCTCACCCTCGGTCCCGTCAATCCTGGGAATCCCATGATTCCTCCTTCCCCCTTTGGTCCAGGGAAGCCCGGTGGGCCGGGCCGCCCAGGGAAACCCGGCTCTCCGGCCTGGCCTTTGCTGTCCACGGGGAAGCCGGGACGACCTGGAGAACCCGGACGACCAGGCAGGCCTGGGAGACCCTTGTCACCTGGAAACACAACGAGGAGGGATGGCATTTATGGAAGATGGAAACTCAGTCAGCTTAAACAAAAACTGGTAAATACGTTTCCTCTGTGTTGGGACCGTTTCCTAAACTCACCACACATTCATGCACTCATTCAAACTAGTTCCTTTTCAAAATACAAGCAATCTATTCCTTCACATTATGAGTTTATTAAGCCACAGATTTTGAGTGTTTTCTGCTCAGTGGAAATGTTTGCAAAGACAAAAACAGTCAGGCGCAACTTGGCTTTTAGGAACATAAAAACCCGATAAAAAATTTATTTTCTGACTCCATGTTTTAGTAAGATATCCATAGCAGACCCACGTTGTGCTAACTGTATGCTGGGTTTTAAAAGTGTGGCTAAAATCTGGACAAATGCATGAAAAAAACTGTAGCTAAAAAAAGTGCTGGGTAGTAAGTAGTTACATGAACTCAGTTCCATTTACTTGAGCAGATTTTTAGGAAACAAAATGTACTTTTAGGAGTATATTTTTACTTTTACTTATTATGACATATTACTCCTCTTATTTGAGTAAAACTTCTGGCTAAGCTACCCACTGAGAGTAACATCACTGAATGGAAACACATTTTAACCAAAAATTCACCAGACACACACACACACACACACACACGCACACACACACACACACACACACACACACACACACACACACCTGCAGTTTATGTTAAAGTTTCATAAGTTTTTTATTGAAAGAAACAGAGGAAAAAATGTTTTTTTCCCCCTACTTTGTAATTTTGTAATTATGTCACATATACAAGTTATTTTCATTCTGTTCTTTAAAATACCAAACTTTACACATAACTTTACATTTTGGTCTGTACATAATTTTTGAATATTAATTAATTTATGTTTTGATCATTTGTCAGTAGCCTTTTTACCAAATACTTTTTAAAAAAAATCTTACTTCCAGTAATTTCTTGGACGGCTACATTTTACTTTTACTTGAGTAAAAATATGTTAATTAATAATTATGTTATAAGTAGTGCTAATCTTACTTGAGTACAATTTTTGGCTACTATATCCGCCTCTATTAAAATATAACACAGATATAATTTAGTCAAGGCAGTTTCTTGGATAAAGTCTTCTAGGAAGATGTTCTCGGGTATTCGAAGGAAAAGAACGGTTGTTTTTTTCCTACCTCTAGGTCCAGTAAAGCCCTCAAAGCCGGGGGCTCCGTTGACCCCTGGTGCACCTTTCTGCACTAAACTAGGAGGGCCTGGAATACCAGGGGGCCCGGGGTTTCCTCCGTCACCTGTGGAGGGTAAAGGAACATGTTTGGACATGTTTACTGCTCTCTGTCGACTGAGGTCGTCCTCTGTTGTCATTACAGATTTGCAGTCAGATTTCAAAGAAAAAGGGGTCGCCATCACCTTTCAGTCCAAACAGTCCAGGACCTCCAGGAAACCCATCTCTCCCACGGTCTCCGGGAAACCCTTTCCCACCGGGAAATCCTGGACTTCCGGGACGACCCGGTCGTCCGGGGAAACCCATCAGCCCCGAGAATCCTCTTTCACCTGCAGATTACGCAGAACTTTTTCACTGATACGGACCGCCCAAGTGAGGAACGGACCAGCTGGCGGATCCTGTCCTCCATACCCTTTCTTCCAGGCGTTCCGGGTCTTCCAGGAACGGTTCCAGGACCTGGCAGTCCAGGGGGTCCTCTTGGACCTGTTCCTCCGTTTGGACCAGGGAATCCCGGGGTTCCTTTCATTCCAGCAGGGCCCGGGAATCCTTGTTCTCCCGGTTCACCTTTCCGACCGCGATAACCTGACGAAGGCGGAGGGTGGGGATGAGAACGGATTAGGCCGGGCTCAACTTCTGTGAATCTAAATAAATGATAAAAACTTAAGAGGCGACTTTTTTTAGATCTGGGACAAATCAATCCATAGAAGTAAAATAAATAAATAAATGAATAAAACCTTACCTTCTTCAGAATACATCAACTTACCTCCAATGAATTAAGTTCACAAAGAAAATACAGCAGAAATCAACTCAACAATAACTTTGCGTCTAAATACCAACACTCGCTGACAGCGTGGCACACTGCAGGAAACAATGTAATTTACTTCTTACATTGTTTTTTTGTTGCTTTTACAGTCTATATTTTGCCCCAGCTGCGCTACGTTGCACAGACATAAGCATGATGCGCTTCATTTGGATACAGAAGGTATCCAGAGGTTTCCAGTAGTTAAGCAGTTATCGGAACAAGTGCGCAATTTCCACAGATGCACCGATTTCCCAGCAGGAAGTTGGAATCAGACTCTTAATCTTAGGCTGATTTGTGAGCACAATGTAAGAAAGTGGGATAGTTCTTGCTAGCAGCAGTATGTCTTTAGCATATAGCATTGCTAGCTTTTAGAGAAGCATTATTCTGACAGCTGTTTGGAATAGTTTTGTGTGGCCACATAATGTAGCAATGCTACAAATTTGCAGCAAACAGAGCTGATGCATGAACACTCTGTCGTTTATTAGGATGAAATATTCAATGAAACATGCATATTTTTGTGAATGGAATACATTAGTGTCTTTTACTTTGGTTCTGGTCTGCTTTGTGTTAACAGACACAGAACCAAACACGCAGAAGCAGCATTCAGCTTCTACGCACCGCAAATCTGGAACAAACTTCCAGAAAACCGCAAAACACCCGGAACGACGAGTTCCTTTAAATCAAGACTAAAAATCCTCCTGTGTAGAGTTGATTCAGTGGAACGTTGATCAACATATTTGATGTGTCTTTGCTTGATGATTTTGGTGATGGCATTTGACAAAAAGGTAACATTTGAATGCGCATTTCTCTCAAGGTTTGCCGTTTGCATACTTACGTTCTTTGTATTGGATTGGTAGCTGATTCTGTCTCTCTGCTATAAAATAAAACTCTTAAGAGATCTGCCTCTCAGTTACACAATTCCTGAAACCATCCATTACGGTGACAACAAAAGATCTCAATTAAGACATTTCTAAAATATCGTATGAATCCCGGAAAAACGGAATCAGTGCATCTGAGGTGATTACGTACTTGAACCGCCTCTGAGTGCAGTTCCAGCCTGCAGTAGCGCGGCTCCGCCACCTGGGGTCTCCAGTAGTGACTGAACTGCCCCTCTAACAGCTGAAGTTTAATGTTTTTTTAAAAAAAAAAAAACAGAGCTCGTTTTCAGCACATCTTCAATGCGACGTTAGTAAATGTCAGACTAAGCTAAGATTGCCATGAGCTTAGATGTGCTGAAAATAACAAGTCTTTTTAATTAAGAGTGCAAAAAAAAGAAAAAAAAAAAGCTTTGGCAGCAGCGATGAAGCTAAATAGCATTTGAGCAAAAGTCTCTTGGTAAACAAACCTACAGAATGTGACCCAACAACAACAACAACAACAACAAAAACAATATTTTGAGCTGATTAGGTGTAAAACTGAAACATGTGGGTTAGATCTGGCAGCAAAAACAAACAAACAAAATCACTTACCGTTCCGTACTCTTTACATAAACTCATCATGAAAATAAAGATCTGATTATCAAAATCGTTTCTTGATGTTCGGATATTATTCCTCGTTGGGTATAATATCCATTTATCCGATGAATGTTTAAAATAAATGTCTGGGTTGTTTTTGGTTTTTTGTTTTCAGGAAGCTGAACAGTCAATAATGACTCGTTAAAATGACAATAGTAAAGCTCATGATGAATTTATGTGCACATCTTAGTGGAACGGTAAAAGCAAGCACATACTTTGAGGGACTATTTTGTCTCGGAAGCTCTCACAAATAAAATATCCATCTTCATTCAAAACCTTGAGTGAGTCTTTGAGTGGAGTGGGGGTGGGATGAACTCCAGTCCTTTCGAGGCGACAGTGTCCAGGTCAGAAACCCTGCACACTGCAGACACTTCAGTCCTGCTCTACGTCTTTGCTAGCTCCTCCTCGGCGACTCGTTTAAAGCTGCAGTATGTACGTTTTATTAAAAAATTAGTTGTTTTTTTTAAATACTTGTTAAAATTATCATCAAGTTGTGACAGTATATGACAGATAATCTGTAAAAAACAATTTCTTTCTCTCAGAGCTCCCAGTATTGGCTGCTGAAACAACAACAGCGCCTGGACCCATCAGTCACTCTCCCACTTGCTCTTTCCTGCAGCTGCTTTACCACAACACAGACTGCCACGAATGCTAATTCAGCATAGCCACCAATAACAGCAAATAACGGTAAGCTTCCTGTAACGGTAAGTTGTTTTTTTCACAATTACCACATTTGGCAACATTCAGGAGGTTGATTGACAGCGCTAAGACCCTCCTCCTGGCTCCGATTGGTTGTTCTTGACCAGAAGTGATGCATTTTTGCAGTAGCACTGGGAGGAGATGGATTAGCTTGATTTTTTCACAGATTATCTATTATCTTACTGTCATGACATGGTGACAGTTTTAATAAATATGGAAAAAAACATATTTCTATAAAAGATAAATACTGCAGCTTTAAAGGGGCACAACTGTGACTTGCAGGAATCTGCATCAAACGCCAACTAAACATTAGAATAGTCAAAAACCCATTGAAATATCAAAAGCAGAATTAAGACACCCTGAATTTCTGACCCAAAAAAAAGACTTCAAAATAACCTCTTCTAGTATAATCTAAGTAAATGGAGTGAATTTTCATTGTGTTTTTCTAGTGTACTTATTAAAATAACACAAAACGTTTTACACTAGAGCCATATTAACACAGTCGCACTCACAAGCTGCGTTTCCATTCACCACATAACTGCACAATTTGATACTTTGAAGACAAATTTGCTTAAAGGAATTCCAGTATCAAAAAAAACTTTTTTCAGGTTTGTTTCCCAAAACTGCAAAGAAAAAAAAATAACATCTGTTTTCACATCACCACATGTGCGCACCACAAAGGAAAAACACAAAGGAAGTGTTAGGAGGATGATGGCTTCACGCGCGACTTTAATTACGTTTCCTATTTAACGGAAACACCGCAACTGCGAAATTGGGCTTTTTCGTCATTAGCGGGATATCGACAAAGTCTTGCGCATATCTGTGATGGAGACGCAGCTAACAAACACTCACACACTCACACACACAGATCAGTAGTCAAACATCGACATTCAGCCAGACGAAGCTCGAGTCGAACCCGCAACTCCTCAGGTTGTGAGACGACTACTCGTCCTTTGAGAAACTGCTAAATTAGCTCGAGTAAAACATCTTCTTTGGTAATTTTCGACTGAAACAAACACCCCCAAGAACAGACTTCCTAGTTTGTGCAGATGGACATTTGTTTGTCGCGTGGTGGCAAATGGCCTGCAGGCGGTTTTAGGGTTTGAGGCGTGAGCAGCAGAAGCATGCGGACAATTAAAGCAAAGGATGGAGAGGACAGTTAAAAAAAAATAAAGATGAACAATGGATGGTCGGGGAGAGAGTGTCTCACCTGGGCAGCCTACATCGAATGACCCAGCACCAAGAAGTAAAAGGTGGAGAGATGGAGAGGATGCATGGAGGTGATGGTGGTGGTGCATGTAGAAAAGGAAAGGATGGTAGAAGAGGTAAAAAAAAATGGAACAAGGAGAGATACAAAAACAAGAGATTTGTTGGGTAAAACGGAGAACTTCAATCCACAAGACAATGACATGCCGTCTGATGCAGGATGCAAAGGGAATACGATGAGAAACGAGAAGGATGGACGGAGACTGGGGAGACTGGAGGGATGAGAGGTGAAAACGTTAGCTGAGACCAAATCAGATTTTTTTTTAGTTCAATTCCACCTGAAAAGTCAACCTGGAGAAAAACTTCACTTAAAGAAAAAAAAACTATCAGAGTCCTCGACAGTGATTTGGAGATTTTGTGTAGATGAAGGTAACATTGTTCCTCACCTGGCGGTCCGATGAGTCCTTTGCTGCCGGGAGATCCGGGTGGACCGGGGATGGGATTGGCCGCGCCGCCTGGAAGTCCGGGAAGACCCGGAATGCCCGGCCGGCCGTCCACTCCACGCTCTCCCTTCAGACCGGAAACACCAGGCCGTCCATCGAAGCCTTAAGATTGAAAAATACAGAGAAATTTCTTTAACCTGCTACTGACATTAACTGCTGCAACTCCATTAATAACATTAATATCAATAAATATGTGAGTTTAGCGTTCCAGCGGCTCCCTCTGAGACCCACCGGGTGATCCGGGTGTTCCTGGACTCCCTGGCGGGCCCTTGTCTCCGGGTGCACCAGGTATGCCAGCCTCTCCTGGAGCTCCAGGTCTTACTCCCAGGACTTCTCCAGGCTGGCCTTTGGGTCCAGGAGGTCCTGGAAGGCCGTCTTTCCCTTTGGGCCCATCGTAGCCAACTCCCGGAATACCTGGAACTCCGGGATCTCCTCTGGGTCCAGGAAAACCTGCAGGAAGGGCGGAGCGGTAGGGTAAATATTAACACATCCCAGAAATCTTATAATTTGTAATTATTTTCCATGTTGTTACTTATGTGTAATTAAGTATTTGTTAACTCAGTGCTGCTATTTGACCCTTGAAAAAACTCCCAGAAGGCAGATTATCCCACTAATGAATCATGTTTATTCATAGAAATATTTTCATTTATAGTATTTTAAAGCTTCACTCCTCAAGCCAAAGTTTTTGGTTGATTATAAAGACCAACATTATTTCTATTTGCTAAAAACCAGAATACTTGGTGAAGAACAACAAACTTTCTTCAAATCCAGAAGTTTACATACATTCATCAGTAGTAAAAATAAGTGTCTTTTAAGCTGCATTTCTCGGGTCAAACCTTTTGGGTTTCCTTCCAGAAACTTCTCATCATAGTTGGATCAAGGCTCCACAAAGAAAACGTCCAAAGCATTTTCTCTTTAAGTTTTCTGACATTTAGCAAATACAAATCATTTTGGGCGTTTCTAGCTGACAGGAGAAGTTTGGTCTGATTTACATTCAGTCTTTTCATTTTGTGTAAGTAAGCTTCTGGTTTCAACTGTATCTATTCGTGTCCAAGTACAAAAGTTTCGTTTATCTGACAAGTTCTAGCAACCTGAACCTTGGAGGTTTTGATCACTGATGATGTATTTAGTCAATTTTCACTTTTTACTCACTAAACAGCTGTTGAATCCAAATTTGCAGTGGACCTCTAGGATATATTTAAATCTTTCTGACCATTTCGCAGCTCATGGTGGAACCCTAAGTAGCACCAGTTTACCTTGTGGTCCTGGTAGGCCTCCAAAACCAGGATCTCCCTTCTGTCCCTTGGCGCCATCAAACCCTCGACCTCCAGGGGATCCTGGGAAGCCTGGCTGGCCTTGGGGGCCTGAGACAGAAACCGGGTTGAGCTGGACTCAAACAAAGTCGTTTCTCAAACAGACATGCAATCCTCTCCAAAGACACCAACTTAAACAGTTATCGTATTAACGTAGAAGTGATAAGACTGAGCGTTACCTGGTCGTCCAGGCCTGCCACGTTCACCTTGATCTCCAGGTTCACCATATATGGTGCAAGGTAGCTTATCGCCTGGTAGTGGTCACATACAGGTTAGTACTCACACTTTAAGTACCATATTACTCATTTAGAGCAAACAGAATGGGATTTATCAGTTTGAGCTCCCTTTAATTTTGTAAATAAATACACATAATATGACTTATCTTCAAGAAAATCATACCTGGTCCTTTACAAAAGAATCATATGACTGAAACCTACCAAAATAAGAGCTCAAAACTAAAGTGACTGGTAACTAGAATCCCCTCACATGTCAACAATGACTCAGTCCGAGTCCAGATGACTAGCTCCTCTGTTTGCAGTGCTGGTTGTCAGTCGCTTCCATTCATGCTGTACTTGATAGGGTTAATTTCAGCTTTTAGCCGTGAGGGCAGCGAGTGTAAACGTTGTTAGTAGCAAACTGTTTGAGTTAAAGCTGCGGGTTGAAAACGAGGAGCTGGTAGGTGAAACGGTTTACGTCCGGGCTGGGTGAGCGTCTGAGCGGTTTTCTCCTCGTCCGATGAAAGTAGTAGTTAAAGTAGGCGTTAAAATAGGCGGCAGATTTCAGCAGCTTTGATTGGAGAAAAAAAAAAAAAAAAAAGAACGGATGAGTGTGATTGTCCAGTGACTCCGACCACCTGCTCCACTTTACCCCAAATTACGCCCAAACGAGACTCTTCGTCGTAGAGATCCGAGTCCTTTCCTTGCAGCGTCACATGACAATGACTTATGAGTAAGTGGCTGGTTTTGTTTGGCAGAAGACTACATTGTCCAGTGATCACCTGCTAGGTCTGAGAAAAGTTTAGAGCATTTTCTGAAATGGCTCTTCAAGAAATTAGCGGTTGTTGGCTAAATGAAAGTTCCTTTAATGAAACTATGAGGGCTACAGACACATTATAATAACATAGTACATCGCTGTTGGAGTAATGGATATCAATAACCAATCCGTAGACTGGTTATTAGACAGTGAGGAGCTTCACCTTCCTCTGTTATTTATAAGTAAAACAGTTACTTTGTACAAGCTAGCAGGCTTGTAAGCTAGCAAGCTAGTGAGTTAGCAAGCATTTCTTTGCCTGGCAGCAAACAAGCTAGCTTGGAATAATACACAAAGTTAAAATTTTGTTAAATACATGTTATTTTTGACTTACTGGAGAGATTAAGTGAGGTTTGTTATAATTCCTTCAAACTGAGTTTAGTCTTTCCTCAGTTTTGTGTTTCTTTGTGTTTAGTTGCAGTTCATTGACACCTTAAGTTTCTCAGTGTCTATTTAATTTTCAGTTTCTTAAAGTATGATATTTTTTAGCATCAAACATCCAACTTAATATCACTTTGCCTGCATTTGGGTTCTATTCAGCGACCAAAAAGTTGAGTTAGATAGGAATATTTAGCTACATTTGCATATTTGTCATTTGTATTATACTGACAAGGCTTTTATCAAGTGGGTCAAGTTTTATGGTCACAGGAAGATATATATTCATGGTAAAAATAAACAACAACAACTCTTCAACAGGCTATTAATCAGACTAATAAACAATTACTACATACATAGTTATATAGTAATTATTGTAGTTTCTTTTTACCATGACTGCTTATTCACAGACATAAATGTTGACATTTTGATTCAGTTTAAATTTATACAAGAAGTCGTCTATTTCAATTCCAAGCTTACATGCCTCCTCAGTCACACACCCAGGAAGCCACAGCCATTATGAGTTTCTTAAATTGCAAATATATATTGTTAAATGGTTTGTGTTGACATGTGGTTAGCTAAATGTTTCATATATGTCCATATAATGTTGTCCATTGATCAGATGAACTCTAGCTACTATGTGAACATGAGTAGCCCCTCCGACTCCCCGGTTTCTCCAAGTTAAAAAAAAATAATAATTTTGGCTTTTTTAATCCACCAGTTCCACCGCTAACGCTACATAATCTGTCCCCATTGTTACTCTGACTGGTGGTGGAGGAAGTTAGTTACCCACCCGTTCCCTCTCCGGCGTCAATAACCCCTCCACAGCTGTTGTCACCTGGACAGATACACATGCACAAGGAATGTGAGACAGATGGAGGGACGGGGGATAGAGAGAAACGGGGACGGATGTGCGTTTTTAGAGAAAGAGGGCCACAAAGGATGGCAGCATACAAAGCCAGACGAGGTCATCTGCATCTGCAGTAAAGCAATTAAATTGTGTTTTTTCTTTTCATCAAACAGTTATAGGCAATCAGATCAAATCAATTATTTCAAGGCTCATCCAGTTAAGGCGGAAGCATACTGAGATGCTTGGTTCAGTTAAAAACAGACTATTATCATCGTCAGCAGAGGAGAGAGAAGGAGGCAGTGAGGCATCGCCGTGTCTGCCCTCTGGTTCCCTCATTCTCCCTCAGTTCCTGAGAGTGATAATTCAAGCAAAATCAATCTATGTTTAGCATCAGCGTCCTGCGGTGAGAGCACTCATTCATTCTGCAAATAAAGCCCAGCAGGTTGCTGATGTCTTGTGTTGTTTAGTCCCAGAGAGGAAGAACTGAGCATCGGTCTTTTTTCTTGACACAAACCTGCCCATTCCGCATTTACTATGCTAGCTTGTTAAATTTTACTGACGGGCAGTTCAATAACTGATTCAATATATAATTGAAAACCTGATTAGATTTTATTATGAAAAATTATGACTAAGAGAGCATTCTTACCAGACCTGTTTGGTCCACTTTAATCGAACTCTAGTTCGTTTGTCTAGAAACTCCGGTTCGTTTGCGGAGGTGTGAATGCACAATCGAAGTCTAACGTGAATCAAAGAAGCAAAGTCTAGTCCGCCTAAAAACCTAGTTATCGCTTCAGTTAAAATTAACTTTGTTGTGGTTCAAATGTATATGTGGTCACAAGCGGACCCGAGACCGCTCCAAAAGCAGGAAGTGGACTATAGCGCAAGGCATTCTGGGTCAACAGAACCAAAACAAATGCGTGAGTCTAGAGCTAGCGGGAGAAATGACTCATGGTCTTTTACCAAAGACAAAAGATAGAAATCTTACAACCGCTAAAATCTGACGCTACTCCATTTTTGTAGAAGAAGGAAGCTGCACTAATGTCTTCTTCTGAGGTTTTTGTGTCACTTCCTTCAGTAGTTTTTCCATCAGTTTGGATCGTTTGACCAAGTGCAGCGTGAAACCGAACCAAACCAGATGAAAATGTAACAAAAATTGCAATTTTGGTCCCCAATAGAACCGAGCCTAACGGTCTATGAGACATGAAAACAGACTTATTGGATTCTTTTTTTTTTCTTTTTTTTTTTCTCACCTCCTCTGAGACTAAAGAAGCACAGCAGTTGTTTTGCATGTCAGTAATTACAGTATCATCATTACGCATCATTCACTCAACTAGAGAAGCTTGTGGATTATCGATTATTGTCTGCAGATGAGTAAAAGCGCATTATTACAGTAGTGAACAGCAGTCTGAGGCATGAATGGTAGGGATCTGCCTGACAGAGAAAGCCTAAAACACGAGCCTCAACGTCTGTGTCGGTGAGTTTTAAACCTTCAACAAGGAAGACCAGGTGCTCTGTGTCCGCTTAAAATGTCTTCATGTGATTTAGTTTGTTACGTTAGACTGCGGATGTGTGATCTAACCTGTGGGGAATTATATTGGCTCCCACTCACTTGTCATCACTTACCTTGTGGGCCTGGTGGACCTGGCTGTCCAGGAAACCCAGGGATCCCAGGCTCTCCTTTTTCACCTCGACGGCCCGGTAGGCCGGGGTAGCCGAATCCAGGATCGCCAGGGGCACCAGGTCGACCTTTGCCTCCAGGAAATCCTGGGAAACCCTTCTCACCGATTGTGCCAACACCACCATCACCCTTGAGAACAATCCAGAAATAATAATAATAATAATAATAATAATAATAATAATAATAATAATAATAATAATAATAAAAAGAGCAAAAAATAAAAATAAAAAACATCAAGGAAGTTAATGGAAAATGAGTAAAAAGCAAATTGGATTTTATTTGTTACAAAGACCACAAGTTCTTACCGGGGGTCCTGGGGGGCCAGCGAAGCCAGGCAAACCGTCTCTGCCAGGGTTTCCTGTTTCACCCGTAGGTCCTCTGAGTCCAGGTGTCCCTCGATCTCCCTTCACCCCGAAACCGGAGAAGGACGATTCCCCCTTCTGTCCTTTACGCCCAATGAATCCCCTCTCACCCTCACGACCCTGCAGAAAACAAAGTTACCAAAGTTGAAACCTCACAAACTTGCGCTTGTTTACAGGAAAATGATAGGAGGATATCAATTACATTAAAAAAAAAAATAATAATAATAATAATGAAATGTTACTCACAGGCGCCCCCGGACTGCCGTTGAAACCAGGAGAACCCGGGTTACCGGGCTCACCTTTACGCCCTGGGAAGCCAAAGTTGCCTCTGGGTCCTTGAGGTCCAGGTAACCCGGGCAGGCCGACACCTCCTCCTCCTCCTCCACAGTTACAGTCACCGGGGTCACCTGAAGGATGCAGGGATTGAGAAATAAAAAGTAGCACCATGTGAGGAGAAAAATAAAGATTATTACACATATAAAGTACGTAACTATATAAATCATTACGTCACAGTGTTTGTAAACAAGGTCAAGGACTTCCAGCTAACCAACTTCGCAATTTTTTCATTTCTCACTCCAATTTTGTAGTCCAGGTTTAATAAAGCTGAAGCTACAAGCGGATAAGCCAAGATGCTCGGTTGTTGTATTGAGCCACAAAACACTTCGACGGCTTCAGTAACTTCACCAGCATCAAGGAGGATTTGATTTCTGGCTGAGCGGTCTGTCCCGTCTATCGCTATGGAAACGAGTACAGCAAACCGGTAAGCTGTAGCTAATGCTAAAATGACAACAAATTTTATATTAAACATGAATTCATTGTGTTGTGTTGATGTCCTCGCCATTGTTTTGATAGCAGTTAGCATGGAGCCTTCTGCTTATGTTAGCGCTGTGTGCTAACTATATGATGCTGTGTCTTAACCACAGCATACTTATGGACATACATTTGTTTGGGAACATATTATTTTACAGAAAACAAATGAATAAGTTTGAGTTTGAGGAAAGCTTATTTTCAGTCAACACGTTTAAATGCACACCTCTAAAGCCTTTAAGTCCCGAGTTTCCTGGAAATCCCGTCTGGCCAGGCGGCCCAGGGTTTCCAGGGGGGCCTTTACTGGGGGCACCTGCAAACACACACAAGCTAACTCAGACAACAACAAAAAAAAGAAACTTAAGCTCAACTACACTGATTTATGTTAGGGATAACAACATGACAATGGACGACAATTAATTAGAGTTCTTGGGAGGGGAAGAGGGAGACATTTTCTCCCCCCCAAGAAACAGGAAATCAAATCTAGAAATAAACCAAGACAGTGGAAGGGCAGCAAAGTTTCACAGTGCAAAATCAGGGTTAGTTGGCTCTGGTTTTCCATCAGGTTCGAGCTGCTGGTGCAAGATGAGAGGCTTCTGTTTAAAAGCATTGAAATTTGGTTTTACTTTTTGACATGATATTAAAAGTTACAGCGCCCTCCATGATATTTATCAGCCATGGCAATGATGTGCAAAAAAAGTGGGATTTCTATTGTCATTGTGAAGAGCTTTTTGTTTACCATCAGCCTCATCAAATTGGATGCTTTTCCACCACTGGTTGTCATGGTTACATCGACACTCGAATGGTCGAATGTCCTATCGACACGTGTGTAAACGAAAAATAAAAACTGAAGTATAAATCACAATTTTATTTTTTTAAAATTTATTCATGTATTTTACACGTCTTTACCCAGGGTGGCCATAAATGTGGAGGGCGCAGTAAAACACCAACGCATTTGGCAAGTACATATTCAGTGGTTTTACATTGATTTTAATAGCTGAGAACTGCACAATGCACACCCATATGGGACATAATTAAACAATAGAAATACACACTGAACAAGTGTGCACATTTTTTTATTTTGACGTACGTTCATTGTAATAAAAAAATAAATGCATAAATTGGTAAAGTTGCAGCCAGGTGTTTTCACTTGATTTTATTCACGACTCGTTTCCAAAGCAGCTCTCGCGCCCCGAACCTTCGTGTAAAACCAGTGAATGATGTTTACAGCGGGTTACACCTTGTGGCCAAAGACGAGAAAAGCAGCTTGGAGTAGAGAGACACTCCTATCCAAGTCTGAAGCTCGCAACAGCCTACACTCGCCACTTAATGCTATTCCCTGCAAAGAGTACAGCGCAAAATAAATAAAAAGAAATCAGCATTTTGGTAGGGAAGTATTGAAAGATGAAAGATGATTTGAATGTTTTGTCTTTTTTATTATTTTTATCATTATAATTGTTATTATTTGAATGGCAGAATGTTGCCATGGCGCTGCATTAGGGTACCTGAGGAACTAACCTGTGGGCCTGTCAGGAGGATAGATATCACAGGGGTCCCTGGGCCGGCCTTAGACAACAGTAAAATTCAGACAGCTGTTATGGTTTGGAAGTTGTTCTCTGTTGTACCTTGTATTCTTACCAACGAGGCGGCGTTTAGTCAGCAAAAAAAGAAAACTTGTTTCACGCCGATTTCAACTGTGGTGCAGCATCATGCGTACAAAGACAAATCAATCATACAATGAAAACAACTTGAGCTGTTACCAGCAGGAACAGTCCTCTTCACAATCTGGAAAGGGAAGGAAAACCCCCCCCCAGAGATTTAACATTTGGTTCGGTGGAGGGATACCTGAGCTGTCTTGAGGACCTGGAGGACCAGGGGGACCAGGAGGACCATCAGGTCCAGGGGGACCTTGGAAACCCTCAGGGCCGTAAGCTGGTAAGCCCGGGTTACCCTTGTCTCCTTTTGGCCCGGCGCCACCAGGAAAACCCGGAGCTCCTGGACCACCTGCGCACACGACATATTTGTTGTGTACAAGGAAGCCACACTTCATCTTCAGAGTCTTGACCAACACAAAGTAGAGCATAATTGCTTAGATGAAGTAAAGTTTCTATTTTCACACGAAGGGTCTCGTGATTTCCAGACTCAACTATCCAGAGTCTCCAGGCTTTTGTGTTTACCTTAAAATGTAAAACAGTAGAGTTTGCCATTAATCTGTGGCAAATATTTGTACAGTAAGGTTTTAAATAGGTAAAGCAAGAAACTGGAAAGCAGGAAGGCCAGAAGAGGTAGCAAAAGTGAGGACAAAACGAAGTTGGAAGGAAGGAAGAGGAACAAGACTAGAGAGGAAGCAGCAGACTAGGAAAAAAGAAGGACAGAACAGAGGGGGGTAGGATTTAAACGTAGCAAGAGAATGAAAGAAAGGAGATAAGAAATGACAGAGGTAAGGAAAGAAGGTTTGTGGTTTTAGCATAAATAAATTATTCTGTCTATCAATCTGGAGTGTGACTAGATTTCCTAAAAAAAAGTTCCTTCACCATACCTACAAAACCTCCAAAAGTTTGTCATTATTACCAAAGCGGAAAGGGCCTGGCGGTCCCGGAGGCCCGGTGGATCCTGGAGGTCCCTGATCACCGGTGCTACCCGGAAGGCCGGGAAACCCCGGGTCGCCTGGGGGTCCTGCAGCGAAAGACGAACAACATGGCCACCTGACGGATTTGTACAATTACAAGTCCAGGTTTCAAATCCTCAATAGTGATGATACCTTGAACAAAAGATCCATCACTGAAGTAACTTGGAGGTCCTGGGAGTCCGATGTCACCTTGGTCTCCCTATGGGATGTTCACGGTCAGAACAGAGCAGAGAAAGGAGAACACAAAATCTACTCTTCTCTCTGATAGCCTAAAACGCATGCTAAGCTAGCTAAAGGATTATTTTTTTACCACATAGAGAGGAGGCAAGCTTTTTACGACTGCAGGAAACTAGTATCTTTAGTTAGTTTTTGAAGTTTCCAATAAAGGGCAAAGAGCAAAGAGAAAAAACTGGCGCTACCATTCCTAGCTAGGTTAAGCTTAGCTACCACTCCTAGCTCCTAGCTAACATAGGAGTGGTAGCTCCTCGCTTAATTAAAACCTTCATTAGTAGTCAAACTATTACAGCTGTCAGCTAAAAACATTAAGAAAAACATGTAAATTATGAGCTGTTTTGCCACAACTTAAAAAACAAAACATTTTGTAGCAAGTTAAACTAGCTAGAAATTATTGGGAAGCTAACAGTGGTTGTGGTTCAATTGAGAGACAAAACTAAAAAATGTTTTCATTTGTTTGTTTTTATCCAACAGTGAACAAAGGATGTTAAAAATATTCAGATACCTTGGGTCCTATGAATCCTGGTTGTCCCAGGAAACCTGGTTCCCCCGGTAATCCCTTGAAGTAAAGAAAAAACTTTTGGTTTGACTTAAGAAAAAAAACATGAGCTGCACAGTGAAGCATCGCAACATGTAAACAAACATGACCCAGACGCTATCTTTGTCTAATCAACAGAGATTCATGAGGTACAGTGTTGAAATCACTTATTTTTATGTTTTTTTTCCTTTTAGCTTTTTCTGTAAGTTACTCTCTATGATTATATATTGAGTATTTTCTTTTGATATTCGTCATAATTTCTCATCAACAACGAAGAATATGCAAGGTATATGTGGAAGTAAAAATTCACTTGGTTCAACAGATAAGCTTACCTTCAGTCCAGAAGGGCCAGGTGGTCCGACAAAACCCGCAGGACCCTGATTGAAACAGGGTCAAAGGTCAGCCACAGAATAAAAGTTCAGATACAATTCTACAACTTTTTTTTTTTTTTTTCTGGAAAACAGAAAGTAGTGCTCAGGAGCCTTACTCTTGGTCCTGGGTATCCGAGAATGCCCTGTTCCCCGTATTCACCTCTATAACCAAAAGGTCCCTGGATTTAAATAATACAAAGAAATCTAAATGTAATTTAAGGCCAATGATTTATTACATAGTGGTCACCAAAGGTTCGGCTTAGGTATGGTGTTACAAAAATCTTTTACGAGTAAATGTACAGAAGTTCTGTGGTGATACTCACAGGTGGTCCAGGTAAACCAGGGTATCCTTTTAATCCCTTTGGGCCGGGATCACCCTGAGAAGAGGCACGGAAAAGATGGTGGGATAGGAAAAAAAAACAACTTTGTTTCAGAAGCAATGAAAATTATTCTCTCAGGATATATTAAAAAAATATCAGTGGAAAGTTGATGATTTTACATTTTTCTCATTTAACTTACCTTTGATACTCCACAGAACACACTAACACAATTAGCTCCATTGGGTGATTTATTGCTTCAAAGATGTTACACTTTGAGATTCTGTACCTTGGCTAGCTAAGCTAACACCAAACACATCCAAGCAGCTGCTGCCTTTGTGACTTACATTATTTTGGCACAAGTTAACAGATATCAGGTAGTTAGAGTATCAGAGAGAGTAGGTCTTGATACTAAAGCTAAACATGTAATTCATTTTGTATCAATTTCAGTTGCCTGTGGGCAATTTGCTCTTTCCGTCCCTCCCTTCTTTCATTTCGAAGCATTAGCTAGCAGTGTCATTCAGATGTTAGCATTCCAAATTAGTTCATTTTTATGGTTAAGAATAATTTTCTGAAATACTGGAGATAAATTCTCATAAAAGTTACTCAAATCTTACATAATTCCATTAGCTGTGTGGTAAGGTGTGAAAACTTTGCATTAAATTTGATTCTGATCCCAGTTTGGGGCATGATGACTCTTATAAAATACAAGCATATGTCCTCTGACTGTCAAATAGGAGACCGGAAATAACAACACTGCCCTCACATTAGACTGTAGAATATTTGTTGAATTTGTTGGTTGTTAATGCCGGTCCAAAACAAACCCTGGCCGGCAAAAGAAGTTGTCCACGAAAAAACCAAAGCTATAAAGGTACAAAGTAGCTAACTGTATGCTAGATACTGAGTACTAATTAGACATTCCGCTTGGATGAGGTATTTTAAATTAGTAACCCATGATTTTGTTTTTTCTGATGCCCGACCTGTTCAATTTTTTATCTACCACCTTTCAAAATGGGAAAAAAAGGAGAACACAGATGGAGATACATGTTGATTCTCATATTATGTAAGAAAATTCAGATTTTTAAAGGCTTTTTTACATATTTTTCCCATTAAATGTGGAAGGCGCCACATGGTTTATCAATGTTCACCTGTAAATAAGTAAAACAGATTTCTGAATCCCCATATTTGAGTTTCTTTCTCACAGGCAAACTTTAAACACAGAGCAGCCATTACACCATGTAGATTCAATCTGTAGTGAAGCCATGGAAGTCCAAAATTGTAAAGAATGAAAAACCTCCATTCATTATTACTTGGTACAAAGTTGAATTAGCCTCTCAGAAAACACTCTCTGGCTGTCGGCTCTCAGCTGATCGACACCACTTCCTGCTTCCACACAGAGTCTAACATCAGAAAGTCGTGGAATGAAGTCAAAGTTGCGTTTTCCAACAAACCTGCAGTCCTTTGTCTCCTTTGGGAAAACCCACAAACTCCACAATGACATTGATCAACGGCTGGCCAGGCTCGCCGGCCAAGCCCACGTCGCCCTGCATGGCGTGATCATGGAAGAGAGACGGCTGTTTACACGCCGCAGTTCTGACCGTTCGGCGGCGGCGGTGAGTCAAAGAGAGGCGGGGCGTCGGGAAGCGCTTCTGTAGCTTCGGCGTGTTTGACGGAGGACGGACTCAATGGGGAGCCACAGAAGAGGACGGAGAGAGGAGAGTCTGGGGTGGCGGTGAGAGGCTGGTCTCTGACGTAAATTTGCCTACATTATTTGAGATAGTTACAACTATCAGACTGAAATTCAGGTCAAAATGCCTCTGAGGTGATTAATCTCAGAGCTCCAAATTACAGATGCACCGATCCAATATAAATATCTGTATCGATCCCGATAGAGAAAATTTTTAGATTGGGCATTGGTGACAATGTGCCAGATCTATAAGGGCAGATCTATTCAGTCTAAGACTTTGCTTTGTACTCTGAGTGACGTAGCGTATCATCACCTTCCTAAAATAAGAGCCTAAATAATTGTTTTGCCAAAAGTGATTTATTTTTTGTCTAAATTATCTTTTGGCAATAAAAATACATTCATGTTTTGGTTGAAATCCCTTTTGGCAAAAAAATTACTTATGCCATTACTTTAGAAAGGTGACAGTATTTAGAATTCCTATTTGTACTTCCTTTTGTTTTTGACAGTCTCAGTTTCCTTGTTATTTATTTCACTTTGACTATTATACTCCTACTTTCCCTGACTGAACAAATTTAAGTTGTTTTTACATGTCTGACCAAACCTGTCAAGTTATTGGTATATTTAAGTGTTCTGTACTAGTGCAGGGTTATCAAACTCGGTACATTTATGTATTTATGAAAAAGAAATGTTTTAAATCAATTCAATTCAATCAATCAATTCAAACCTCAGATATCGGTATTGGTATCGGAAGTGAAAAAAGTAGACTGGTGCAGTCAAGGTGCAGCCTTGAAAAAAATGCTTAGTTTATTCTGTCTGTAAATTAAATTATGCTAAAATTCCAGTATTTTACATGAGCAAAGAGTTTGCAGGTGTCCCTAATTAAATCTATTTCTATTTCAACTGCATTTTTTGTTTGTTTTATGCTAACCTTTCTTCAAACTTCTCAATTCCATAATTTTATGTGCCTCATACTAATTTCAAGGAATTAGTATATTTTGATTCTCCTGGATAATCGCTGTTTATCCCAACAATGAATTCATTTAAACTGACAAACAGTAACAACATTTCTGATTGGTCGACAACTATCAGCAACAAATCTTATTCTGTTAGAAAGCGTGCTAATTGCCACATTTGTGAGGAAAATGAACATGTGGTTTGAGCAACGTGGTAAGAGATTGTTGGTTGCATCCATTAAAAACTCACTAAATTCTCATTCATTATATTTTTTATAAATCTACAGCTGCAATTAAGACAGCAAACGGGATCTAGTTTTGTTTGACCAAAACAATTATCTAAACTTACCGCTCAGATTTTTATGTTCATAAGACGTTTCTGATTCTTACAACAGTGCATCGTTTGAAACTGGAAATTATTTTTTTGACTCCAATTTGTAAAAATATGAGTCAAACTCCACTGGTGAGACAGAAGCTTAATAGGTGCTTCTCAGATGGACCGTTTCCTGTACACATCTCTCCCCAAACCCTCCTCCTCCTCCTCCCTCTGTTTCTCTCATCCTCCCCTCCATGGCTGGAAAGTTTGCTGCAATCACTGCTCCCTTTTTTTTCTCAACCCCTTCCTAGTACATTTTATTTATTCCCTCCTTTTGGCACAAGATCCCATCATATCTGTAAGTTTTACTGTGTGTGTGTGTGTGTGTGTGTGTGAGAGTGTGTGTGAGTGTGTGTGGTGACAGTGCTGCAGCGTCTGCCCTTCCCTCGCTGTGTTACCTTGTCTCCTTTGTAGGCAGTGACAATTTTTTCGCCGCTAAGAGACTGGTCACCGGGAGAACCGCTGGGTCCGGGAAGACCCACATCGCCCTGGAGTCCGAAATACACACAACACACCGTTAGCCTATCAGATGGAGCGATTGGTTTGTGGAGGGAAGAAGGAATAGAGTAGAAAATGAGGAGAATAAAAATAAGAAGGATGAGAAAGGGGCAGAAGTTAGAAAAAAGGGAAAGACAACAAGAGAAATGATAAGTATTTATTATTATTATTATTACTACTGTGGCTCAAAAATTACTTAAAAGGTTATTTAATTTCACTATTAAGTTTACACTTTGCAGACAACAAAAATATTGTTTATCTTGTTTTATTTATTTATCATTTTGTTTCTAGCGCAAACTCAAAAGATTTGAGACTGAAACGCTGCACTAACATGGATTTGGATTTGAGCTGTATGCTACTCTTCACCGTCAACTTTCACCATAATTTGATTAATTCCGTGACAGGACAGGCTTACACTTCAACTTGGGCCTAAATTAACACCTAATAGTCCACAGTGCTGTCAATTTGACTGCAAAACCTGTGAAACATTAATTCTTTGTTTTGTGTTCGACCACTAGGCGGCCTGCTAGATTTTTGGAACCACAAGGGGGCAGCACCAAGCACACGTCAAACAAAACAAAGGGCTGAGGAGAAGAAAAAGAAAAACAACAACGAAGTTTGCTGTAAATTAACACAGTTGATAGATTTAGTGTTCTTCCATTGTGGACAAAGATATCAAAACTACAGTCTGGTAAGAAATACTTCATTCTCTAAGTTATTTTCTTCTTCTCCTCTTCAGAGTAGCTAGTGTTTAAACTAGTGTATTATCGCCCCCTAAGGGACTGTGGTGAAACTGTACAACTCTGGGTGGAATATGGACTTTGTGTGTCCTTTCACACAAAGTCCAGTTGTGTGTATACTCTGTATTTTCAAGTCGTGGAAGATGAGCCACTTTCTGCTGGAAGTTTCTTTCTGCTGAAGGAAAGTTTTGCCACAATGATAAAAATGAATGAAGTTTGTGGACTACGCTTAAAGCTGCAGCATGTAACTGTTTTTCTTTTACATATTTGTTAAAACTATCTCTATATCCTTTATATTTGTCAAAAGAAAACAAACTCCCCTCGCCTCCTCCCTGTGGTTCTACTGCCATCCGCTCCCGGTCAGAAACAACCAATCAGAACAAGGAGTAGGATCTTAGCGTTGTCAATCATGCTTGCGTACGCTCACACCATAACCCATGCTCTCTGCTACATTACAGCTAACACCCCACACCGGAACCTGTCCTGAATGCCCATGCTAGTTAGCATAGTCACCAATGATGTAAGGTAAACAGTTTTCCTGTAATAGTATGTTGTTCCTCCACCAGCACCACATTGAGCAGTGTGTACATGAGCATGATTTACAGCATCAAGACCCTCCTCTTGGCTCTGACTGGTTGTTTCTGACCAGGTGCAGAGTATCCCTGCAGATGGCAGTAGGACAACAGAGAGAAGGCAGAGCAAACTGATTTTTTCGCAGATTATTTGTGTTGTTAAACTGCCATGACATGGTGACAGTTTTAACACATATGTAAAAAAAATACAAAAAAAACTTAGTTTATAAAATGACATACTGCAGCTTTGAAGAATGAATTATTAAAATTGCCTAAAAGGAAAAGTTGAAGCAAATCTGTTTAAAAAATTGTTCAGGTTTTTCCGTGTATTTCTACCTGTAACACAATAAAATTAACATAAATTTGTAATAGAGAAAAAAACAACAGGATAGAAAAGAAAAGAACAGAATGAGAGCAAAAGATTAAGAGTTGTGTTTTTAGACTTTTTTTTCTTATCTCTTAATTATGCAACTTATATCTTTTTTTTTTTAAACACAAAAACACAATTCTTCCTTTCCAAATGTCACATCCGGATGTTCCCTGTCTCACTTAATGCCATCGAATCATACTCAGCGTGTGAGGATTTGCTTGAACATACCATACATGCATCGTGTGAGGAAGATGAATGTTAGTAAAGTGTGCGTGTGTATGTGGCCGAGCTGGATGGGTGGATGAGCAGGTGTGGTGAAAGGGTGAATAGGGAGTGGAGGGGGAATGTACCACCAAACAAACACATGTGATCGAGATGAGTAAGTGATTGGATGCAGGAGCAGGGAGCAGTGATTCCAGCAGTCAGTCGCAGCCCACAGACTCTCCCCCCCCACACCTTGGATCGACAGCTCGGAGATTTCCATTCCAAATTCAACGCGCCTCTTTCAATTCGACGAAAACCCGAATGGTCCGGATGATTTCTTAAATGAGTTCAGACGAATGAAATCTCAGAGCTGCCGTTCCACAGTGAAGAAATTACGTGTGAAGCCCACAAAACAACAAACAACTCTCCAAATCTGAAGAATGGGAAGGAGTGGAAAAAAAAACTAAAACTTTTTTTCTTTTCAACATTTTATTACATTTGATCCCCTTCTACTTTCACGGAGGTTGTTTTTGTCTCGGAGGCAACCCAGGTGATTTAAAGAGACAAAAAGCCAAAACAAACTGAATCAAGCAATGGTTGAGGTGATTTTTCTTTTTTTCTAATATCAGCCCGTGCCGATCAGAAGACGCGGGGATGCAGTGTTAAATTGAGGAAAAGGATGGAGGAGGGAAGTTAGGCAGGTTACGGAGCCACCACCGAACGTTTTCCAGCATGCACAGTGTTCAATGAAGACATTTCAGACACAAATTCACTCAATTAGACATGCAGGCAAACAAATATCCACACACACACACACACACACTCAAAACCCTGCTAACGGCTGATTTCTGAGGTGTTAATCTAATCTGAGAAATGTTGACAGGAAAACATAACAGCTAAAGACAAACAGAACATTTAACTTGTATTCCTGAACTTCAGAGCTGCAACACATTCCACAAAAACTGGGGAGGTTTCACTTTTATCAATCTGTAATGTTGCTTTACCCGAAAAAAAAAAAAAAAAAAAGAAAAACAGTAAAATTATCTTCTGGTATTGAGATCAGTAAGAATCTTTAAGCTTTTTTTCTCAGCCTTACATGAAAGTGTTCAGTATCAGTCTACATGCCCTGAAGCACAACAGAAAATGTGGCCCTCTAGTAGGCAATATTGGAATTTTCTCTGCATGAGAATTTGATTCTTCTTTAACATGTTAGGCACAAAGTATCTTTCTTTTTTGTTTTAATTTCATAGGAAGTAGAGCTAGAAACATCTAGCAACATCTTACAATAAAATAAAAATGATTAGAGCATATTAAAAATTCTATTACTTTTTTTTTTTGAAGAAGAAGAAGAAGAAGAAAGTTTCCATTTTGGTTGCTGGGAATAAACTCAAACATTTTCTACACCAAATAAACAAAGAAGTTACCCAAAAAGTTAGGAAACTGCTCTCCTTTATTAAGAAAAAAATATATATTTTTGCAATAAGATTTTACAAATACATATTTCTTTTTAAAAAGCCAGTTATTTTTGTGCTTTCACGTAAAGTGAAACCAAAGTCAAATTCCTTGTTGGCTAGTGAAGCTGATTCTAACCATGCTTATACTAAAATAAAAAAATGTTATTTTCTGTATTGACACCAGGCACAAAATTCAATTCAGTTCTATTAAGAATTCAAAAATACTTTATTGATTACAAGGGGGAAAAAGAAACATTGTATTCATGGTTGTTTCGTCAACCTAGATCTCAACTACCTCCAAAGAAAACGCAGTTATTGATGGAGGTGTTGCTTTTATTTTATATCAAATCAAAATCATCAAATCAAATTTGTGCTGCTTCTAAATCGTTTCTATCCAGCTTGTTTGGAATGTGCTGCAAGCCTGAAAAGCAGGATTTGTCGTCTTTAAATCAAATGAAACCAGCAAATTCAATTTTTTACTCGGTTTGAACCACTTCGGTTTCGACCACAGAGCTTAATGAAATACTCATTTTCTGCTCCATTTACTTTTTTTTTTTATTTTATTTTCATTCAGGGACTTTGTTATCAATTTAAATGTTTTAACTAATCCCTGAATTCATGCTGAAGCAATTCCATGTGGTCGGAATCGTTGCCCTCTTGACATCCAAACATTTCCAGCTAAGTCGTCTTGGTTTTTGAAATCATTTTGTACCTTTCGTCGTTAATGTCCTACCTTGTCTCCTTTCCCTCCTCGATAAATGTCGCCACGGCTCCCCTATAAACACAACGGGTTAACAACAGGAAGAGCCAGAGCCACAAGTCTTTCTTTCTTTTTTATCAAACAGGTAACAGGTCAGTATAGCTGTGATTCATCCTACCTCAAAATAAATGATAAAATGTCACAGCACTGATCCAAGACTTACCTCTGGCCCTTGGGGCCCAGGAGGGCCGGGGAGTCCCTACAAAGAGGCAAAAGAATCGCACTCAGTTTTTTTGATAAAATTGGACTTTTTTTTTTTTTCTTCTTGTTTTGATTTTAAGAGAAAATCTGAAAAGTGTGGTGTGACTTTGAATTTAGAGCAATTCAGGCTTAAAATTCAGAGATGAAAATTTTTTTGCCCATTGTGACATCTGTGATGTTAGAAAAGAAATCAGAACTTTGTGATTTTAAGATCAAAACACAAGCTTCTTTAAAATCCAACGTTACAATAGATTGTAATTGCAGACAGAACTCCATATTACCGACTACCTTCCTCTATGAAGGCCTGAAAGTCTCCAATACGCCGTTTTGTAACCTTTAATCAGCGATCAAACGGCATTAAATCCTAGTTATTCTGTGATACTTGTGAAGAAGCCGGTTAAAGACGGACAGGCGACTCGGTTTACATACGGGGAATCCGTTAATTCCTCTTGGACCTTGGAAACCCGGCGGGCCGGTCGGACCTCTGAGACCCTGCAGAGAAAACAAGGAGACGAAAAAGAAAAAGCTCACTGATGTCATTTCCCCTGATGCTGAAAAAGTATACCTAACTTCTTAGATTTTTACACCTAAATGAAAACATGTTTAATTCTTCAGGATTTCAATTCTTCGCTTCTAAAAGGAAAGGCAAGTCTTACAGGTGGGCCCCTGGGTCCTGGTTCACCTGGTACCCCCTAAATGACAAAATAAAAACAGGGATAACAATAAATTAAACACTAAATGATGAGTAAATACAAATTAAAAACTGACAACTTGTTATTATCCAGAGCATGGGAGAGATATCACTGTTATTTCGAAACGATGTCTTGCTTTTTTTGCCATATTCATCGCATCTACTCAGGTTTACAGAGCTGGCGCCACAGCACCACCTGCTGGCCAAATGCAGACACTTCAGGCTGGCTCAGGCGCCCGTATTGGCCAGTACAGTTTACCTGTAAAAACCTCTATATCAATACACATTAATATGCGTAAAATTCTAGAAAAAAACTGGTGTTAAAATATGTTTTAGGGCTGAAACCAATGTAAGAGGTCTGAGCCTGGGAGTCGCAGTTATTTTCTACATGCGTTTATGAATCTAGATACACTCTGATGATGAAAAAGTCGAAATGCTAAAATCCTGATCACGGGATAAAAGAGGGAAAATATAAAAAATTAATAAATAAAATCAGGATTGAAGCAAGAACAGAAAAGCAGACAGCTGGAATGAACTTTTACCAAATAAAATCTTTATTTTGAGCTTGCGAGTTAACAGCAGTTGAGAGCAAAACAGAGGAGAATCAGGAAGTGCGTCCTGTAGGTCTTACCTCGGTGTTGTCTGTGATGTAGATGGGGTCTCCTTTCTGACCTTTTGGCCCCGCTGGCCCCTAATTTTTTTAGGCAGAAAAACGACAACATGACCCACCTGCCATCGACACAATCGAAACGAATCGAGGAATGAAAAGCAGCGCTCACTTGAAAGCCAGGATATCCCGGAGTGCCCGTGCCATAGCCGGGCAGACCGGGGTCCCCCATGGTTCCGTTACAGCCGTCCTTCCCTGGTGGGCCCCTGCTGCCCTGCTGACCCGGGTGACCCTGCAGGAGGAGAGGAGTGGACACGAACAGGTAATCGACCAGCCTGTGTGTCATAAACCTCAACCACGTTCTTCTTTGTGTTTCCAATCCTCAGATGCTAAGAGTTGTGGTTCAGAACCAACATAAATGCCCACAAATCTCCTTTTCTTTACAAGCTGTTTGCTCTATTTTGTGTGACTAACATCAGAGAAAAACTGACAACTTGTTATCATCATGTTGACAGATAACATGAATATTTAAAAAAATAATTTGTTTTGTTTATGTTTTTTGTATGAAACACCCTTGATACAGAACATCACATTCAATTCAATTGAATAAAAACAAAAATACTGCATTGATCCCAAAGGAAAATTAAACTCATATTTTTCAAAGTTCTTGAAAAAGTTGTAGATTCTGATGGCAGTGGGAGGAGAGGATCATCTGTAGTGGCCTGTAGCACAGCGGCTCTGAAAAAGCCTCTGACTGAAGACGTTCTGTTGCCATGTGAACATCTCGTTAAGAGGATTCTCAGGGTTGTTCATAATTTCCTTATTTTTACGTGGAATGTCCAAGAAAATCACTGCTAGCTCAAACTGGACTGAGAGTAAACTGGGATGACATTCAGTCCAACGTACCAAAACCACATTGAAAGAAATCGACTATTTGTTTCTGATTTACTTACAGGCACTCCATCAGTTCCTCGAAATCCAGGCACTCCCATTGGTCCCTGCATTAGGAAATACACAACATGATTAATTAATGATTAGAAAAACAGAGCAGAAGAAAAGTAGTGGTGGAGAGCTGCGTGCACGCCGACATCCCGAATGTTTGTATCTCATCCAAGATGAGGCTTAAGGCAAGATATTGCCAACCGTTGCAACTTTTTACTTTTTCATTGCTGTGTTTTCTTGTTGATAAAATGTAAATACATCACTGATTCACCCACTTTGTCTCCTTTGTCCCCAGATGGTCCTTTAAGTCCAATGTGGCCCTTCTCTCCTTTAGGCCCTCGAGGCCCTATGCCCCCTTGTGGCCCATCCGGTCCGGGCCGTCCGATCTCACCCATTTGCCCAGGACGACCCTGAGGAAAAAAAAAACAAAAAAAACAGATGCAATGACGTCTTGAGTCAAACTCAATCATTTTGAATATATGAGCTCATTGAGCATCAAATATACAGAGAACATATAAAAAAAATAGTAAAATAAAAGTTGGAAGAAGCAAATGAGAAGATGATGAATATTAGAGTCAAAGTAATGGTTCACATTCTCCAGCTCAGTCGGAAAACTTTATTTTTCTGTTCTTCATGGCTCGCCAGTCAGTTACATGGTGTAGTTTACGCACTAATTGCACTACTTATCCCACAATGCACTGCAACAGCTACTCTGCTCAAGACGTGAGTGCGCTCAAGCTACTCGTGGGACGAATGCACCAAAGAGTCTGAAGGTAAATTCTGTGTTGCCAAAAAAATTCTATTTGCAACACAATAATCCGAGGCTGGAAGGAAGAGGAGAGGAAACTAAATGTTTTTTTTTTCCTTTAAAAAAAAAAAAAAATTTTTCAAAACAAACTATTACACTAATGAGCACTAATCTTTTTTTGCTCACAATTGCTTCGATGTTCAATATGCCTCAATGTAATACACAGATACTATTTGCAGGTACCAAGACTGTAGCTTTGTTAATCGCTAAAAAAAAGTCAAACTCTCTTTGCTTTAGTTTTAAAATAATAGAACCTTGTTTAATGGTGGCCAGGTTTTTCCACACACGTCATGTCGACTAAAAATAATTATTGAGCACGTTTGGCGAGACCGCAGGAGAAAACACTGCTTAATGTTGCCACATTGTAGCTTAAATTCTGGTTCAATCAAAACGATTAATTGTGATTAATCTATTATTCAAATGGCTGTTAACTAATTTAGTAATCAATTAATCGTTAACTGGAGTATGACAACTCTGAAAAATATGTGGTTTGGTAAAAAAAAAAAAAAAAACCCAAAATTTTCATAGCAGTAATTAAGTCAAAACTGTACAAAAAATATAGAATTTTGCATTTAAGATAAAAATAAAAACTTTGTCTGTAAATGTGATTTAGCCAAAACTCCTCAGGTGATATAGCTTTAGCTTCATCTGGTTCATATTTACTTAAGAAATACTAAGGTATTGAAATTCAGGCAGTAAAATGTTTATTTCCTCATTTTAAAAAATAATTTGGATTATTTGTTTATCTGCATCTTTTACTGTTTTTTTTATTATTGTATAAAAAGGGTTAAGTGGTTAAATGAAAAATGGGCCTGTAAAATGTGTCATTTCTTATCTTTTTATCAATTAATTTTCAGACTAACAGACAGATTACTAAAATAATTGTTAGACGAAAGCCCTAATTAAAAGTACCAACAAAGCTGTAATTCTAAATTTGTGTTTTTATTAGATTTATAAAAGCCCAAAATTTGATATTGATATTTGATATTTTGTGCAAATATGGAGATTCATATTTTATACACTTGTTAAACTAATAAATGTAGTTTAACCAGTGTTTAAATTTATTTTTTTTTTAAACTAAATTAAACAAGAAAGTTTCTAAATCTTTGGTTCTTTGATAAATGCAGTTACGCCACTACAGCCACAAGATGGCAGCATAGACACAATGAACTAGCGCAAACAGGTGCTGAATTAGAGGTTAGGAAGTGGAATCCCTTCATTAGGAAGCCGGACTCAATAACTCACTAAGGTACACACATTCACAGGACCGCTCAGACTACTGACAGCCTGCGATTAGCTCATGCTTTAAACAATATAACAGGGTAAGGAGAGAGGAAGCGGATCAGGATATGAAAACAAGTCTGAGAGAGCGGCAGTATGTCCTGCGGTCAAAGGAAAGTCAGATTCAGATCTACGTAACACTGTTCAGTCATCATGCAAATCGGGAACATGCCAGCAAGAAGCTTTGTTTCAATTTTCAAGAAAATATGCTAATAAATTCCACTGACAAAGATATCCCGCATGCGTTATCTAGGAATGTAAAAGACTGCAGCCTATAAGACGTTTACAAGGGATTTATTCAGCTTGACATGCATGTAAATGCTTGTACGAGCGTACACGCATGCTTTTCGTCAATGACAGCACATGTATGACCACAGAACTGCTGCTGTCTTTTAAAGCGCCGGTGACCCCTGATTAGCGTCCTTTGTCTTGGAGTTAGAGGCCGCGGCTCGGCTTCCAGCCCACGTGGCCTTAGGGGGTAGGAAGGGAAGCATAATGACAGGGCTGTTCCAGCTAAAGGAAGCCTGCCAGAGCTGTCTGGCCCAGATTTGACACTCACACCTGGTTTCACCCAGAGAAAATATGCAGAGCTTCCACCAGGAGACACTTTCTCTCACACCTTACCTCCACCGTCGCTGGCTTTACCTTAACACTTAAAGAATAATTTAAAGTCCTTCTCGTTTTATTCCCTTTTATATGTCTCTCTGTATATTGTCCAAATCTCAATCAAAGTCACCCATTTTTATCTCCCCGTTGGCTAATCTTGTAAATATCCCAACAGCCTTCCAGCAACTTCCATCTAAATGTCTGCATACCCAAAAGTTTGAGGTCATCTTTTAAAAATGCTTTTAGCTTTTCCAAGGATCTTTCTTTCCGGTCCTGGGTAACCTTTAGAGCTCCATCTCTGTCTGATGTTGGATAAACAGTAAGAGGTGGTCAGGCTGTTGAAGAGTGAAGACTTGCTTTCATGCTAGGCTCTGATTCTGTTCAGTAGAACAAAACTACTGAAAGAGGACAAAGAAATCCAGACTCCCTACATTCAAAGATTTTGATTCTTTATGACATTCTGGACGTCTGAGGATAATGTATGTGACTTGTTGGATTGTCTTGTCTGTGTGTTCCAGACGTAATTAAACAAGTCAATGCTGAAGACAGGTTCAGATTCACAAGTCCAATCACACGCAAGTTTGGCCTGTGTACCAATCCAGACTAACTCAACTCCACAACACTTTGCAATCTGGACTGAACTGAACTGTCCAACATAAATTTGACGCAGGATAGCAGATAGATAGTTAAAACTACAGTTTGTGATCTGTGTCAATACTCTAAATGCTCAAGTCTGTCCAAGACCAAGCCGCAGCATTTCAATTAGACTTATGCCTCGACTTTGACTAGACCATTCTGCAACCATTAGGAGGTGGTCTTGCTGATGTGCTCTAGATCAAAGTCTATATGCTCTTAAATTGAGAGATATAGATATAGATACAAGACAGATAAAGAACATTACTATAGGTATTGACCAGTTGTTTAACTATTTTGAAATGTCATCTTCATTGACATCTTTTGTATGCTTGTCATACACAGAAGCATCTGACAGACTACATTTTGCTATGCTTTAACCAAAAGACCACTCCCAAGTTGTATTTTCTATATATGGTTTGAATACAATGCTTTTTATTGAACTCATATGTTTGCCAGTTCTATCAGTGATCAGTCTGTCCCATCCCTGACTTCCGACATCATCCGTCTCACCCTCACAGGTTGGCATCCCCGTCTGTTTTCATGCCAGCCCGTCGGGTCTCTTCCCGCGTCTTCCAGACCTTCCACCCACATCACCTTCCACCTGACTGGTCAGTTTATAGTCCCAAATCCCTTTCAGCACAAAGGTCACAATGGGGCCCATTCTGGCCGGCTAAGCTCTCTGGACTTACAGCTCCCGTCTAGCCTAGCTCACTTCCTGATAGCCGAGAGTGCTTGGACAGACACATTCTGGTCACCATGCGTGTGAAAATCGGTAGGTGTGTGTGTGTGCGTGTGTGTGTGTGTGTGTTGTCCATGAATGCACATTCACACAGAGATGAACACGTACCCCGAGGGTTTTTAATCGAGTCGTATTGTTCTGTGGGCTGGTGGGTGCCAAGAGTAAGATTTCGGTTGTCACACCGAATGCTCCCTTATGGACGATAACGGGCAAAACCACAGAGGGAGGGGTTCGCGAAATTCCCGGGTCTTTGGGTGCATGTTTAATCACCAAAAGAGGAGTAAGAATTGAGCCAAATACAGCCCACACATGAATCAACAGAACCTCAAACCTCCTTTGTATGAAAAAAAATTATATATTAAAAAAAAAAAAAAGAAACAGGTACAGCTATATCTGGAGAAACAACTTCACACTTCTCACTTCATTTGTCTCCAGACACGTTAGACAGAGGAAGAGGTAAATCTTTGGTGGATGGGAATGTTTGGGTTGACTGGGTTTGTTGTTCTCTTCTGATCACACAGTGAACCCAAACATGTCTTGTGTATCCATACGATGAAACAGGAAAGAAAGGACGACGCACGAATGGAATATTTCCTATTTATCCCTGTGGGGGGTAAAACTGAGTGACGGTGACCACTTTGCGGTTCACAGTTTGTGTTTCTCTGACTTGCGAGGTTTACGAGTTTCCTTGTATGACTGACCCATCTGTCGCTTTCACACTTGACCCAAAACCTCGTGAGTTTGAGAAAACATGGGACCCGGGTAAACAACTCCGGACATCTAAACAATCCTGTTTGCATATTTTCAGTGGCTGCATATTCTCACTGCGCAAAGTACAAACTCCTCAGGTTCATAGATTTGAACTAACTCAACTAAATATTTGTTCATAACCTGAAAAATATCATTAATGTCAACGCAAACATATGGGAGGAAATGGGAGCAACACGCTTAAGGAGAGATCCGATTTTCCTTCTGCTTAAGAGGGGGAAAAATATTTATTTAATTTATATATCTCCGTCACAACAATACCGACTACAACTCTATGCTGATGATGATGCGTTTAAGTTTTAACTTACCCAATTCCTATAACTTAGATGCAGAAGATACAGCAAAAAGGTGAGGTCAGGAAATCGGCTGACTTAATGTGACTCTTGGATTATACATGTTCATTTTTCTATCCACCTTATTCCTGGGGTTGTTGTGGGACTAAATGTGGTTGCAACCTTCAGTATTTGCGATAAAGCTGTCTTTCTTCATATGTAATGAGATGGGGTTTTTTTTTTAAGTAAGTGGTTTGCAGTTTAGCTAAATTCCTTGATTTCTTGTCTGAACAAGACTAGCTGAAGAGCTGTTCACGGCTGCACC